TTGGGAAACTAATAAATCAAATTTCTCAGAGAACATACTCTTTCTGATATGATTTAGCTAAAAGATTACCAAAACTCATTTAGAGTTCACAACGCATTGCTTGCGAGCTGAACACACCTGTGCAGCGTGAGTAGCCCATATATATATATATAGTAAACACCTAAGTATAGGTCAATACGTTCATTTCGACCTTTGACTCCTGATCCATTAACACGCTCAGTTCATTCCTCCAGCTCGTATCCCTGTTTGCTTTGGAGTTGTAGGCCTACTCCTAAACATGTTACAGGAGATTAGACTAGACGGTTATTTAGGACACACGTCGTATTTGACACAAGCGAGACACTTGTGATCAAACGTGATACAAATAAGCCGAGATGGCTTGTATCATTCACAATGACGAGATATCATTGATGAAAAATCACCAAACAAAGGTGAGACACCTTTGTTGACCGACCCCTTTCTTCCCCTGTTTTTCATTTTTTCCCTCTCGGACTTGCAGCTGATGAAGGTCATTTTTGACCGATATAGCTTCAGAGTTTATAAAGACATAGGGCGGCTTCGTCACTGTTGTGCAATTATTGTAATAACACGTCTTGAAATATTGTTCGATATATTTAAAAAGTTTACAACATTTTTTATTGGAGATTCATGTGTGGTTCTTCCAACTGAGAATTCTAATTTTAAGACGAAAATTTTGAATCGGAAAAATGCTGTTATACTTTTACGTGAAAGGGAAAAATGTTTTCCCATTTTTTAAGTCGAAGAGAAAAAAATACCCCAACGTTTACATTTGAACTGGTAAAATGCTGTAAAACTTTTACTTGATATAGAAAATACTTTTCATTTTTACATTAAAAAGCAATGGTGTTTCATCTGCAGGAGAAAAAAATACTCAGATTCTTAAAGACAAGGTGAAAAAATACTGCAAGGTTTAGCTTTGAATCGGTAAAATACTGTAAAAGTTTACTTGAAACAGAAAAATACTCAGATTTTTAAAGACGAAGAGAAAAAATACTGCAATGTTTAACCTTGGAAAGGTAAAATGCTGTAGAATTTTTACTTGAAAGAGAAAAACTCAGATTTTTTAAGACGAAGAGAATACTTTCATAAAAATACTGTTAAAAATGCTTTGAATTTTGTCACCAAAACGCCTTGTGCTTAACAGATTTTTTACACCTACAGCGTGCAATACTGTTTTTATTTGTTGTACAAACTAAGGCGATCATTTAGAAATAAAGGGAAGGCTTTATATGAATCAAAATAATATTCAATGCGGCTGTGCGTATAAACCACTACGACAGTTGCTTGACCAGCAAACAATACTGCTTTACTATAACACTACCTGGCTCACAGTGTCGTTCATTTAACGCTATCAAATACAGTTTACTTCAATAAAATGGGAGGTTTTAATCTATTAAGTGTTTGCGAACCACACACTATCACAATACTCTAAGTATTTGGCTTGCATACTGCTCTCTTTGTGCATTACAATAGTCTCACCTGACTGTTAGTGGATGAATCAAAATCATATTCAATGCGGCTGTGCGTATAAACCACTACAACAGTTGCTTGACCAGCAAACAATACTGCTTTACTATAACACTGCCTGGCTCACAGTGTCGTTCATTTAATGCTATCAAATACAGTTTACTTCAATAAAATGGGAGGTTTTAATCTATTAAGTGTTTGCGAACCACACACTCTCACAATACTCTAAGTATTTGGCTTGCATACTGCTCTCTTTGTGCATTACAATAGTCTCACCTGACTGTTAGCGGATCCTTGTTTGTTTACTATGTGCCGCGTTCAACTGAACCGCAAACAATGCCACCTCTCTTTTTTAGATCAATAATTACAAATGCGGCTCTTTTTCGTTCATCCAATACAATAAAATACTAAAACAATCATCTATCCTTATGTATACACACTTGATTTTGCCAATATAACTTTTTTCNTAGACTACGACCTTTTGCAGCATGTAGTAGTCGAATATATTTTCCTTGTTTGAAAACCAAGCACAGAACTTTATTTTTTCTTTTCACAGTTTGATACAGGTGACGTCTGGCCTTTCTTTCTTTCTGTGTCTGCTCCTTTGGTTTCTTCACTTCACGACTGGGCCATCAGAGCCTGATATGGCTTTTTATCCATAGACAACCCTCTGTTAATGGGGCTATCAACAAACAGAAAACACAGCAGCAGATTGTGACATTATTACACAATTGCTGTGGTGAATTACGCAAATAAATCAGGTAACCTCTTCCAATGAGCTTTTTCTTCTTTTCAAAAATATCACCACTTGGAAAATGAAACCCGGGGTTTGGTCATATAAACATAGTCAGTTTACTGTGCGGTATGACAGTTCTCATGGATTTAATCTCTTAATCAATAAAACATGGGGATATTAAGGCAATATATGTCCCCACGCCTCAAATGTTTTTCTATTTCATTCCATGTGTCCTTGCTGCAATTTCAACATAATCTATCAACAATGTATCTCCATAATAAGGATGGCAGATTATGTTATTGCACCAAGGGGATCAATGTTTTTTTTCTTTCTTTCCTTCTGCCTGGGGAAAAGTGCTCTACATCAATAATGCAGGAACAGCAATTGAAACTTCTGGTTCACTCCACGTGCCGAGAAGACAATCAATTCTACCCAGACTCCAGGTACAAATTTACAATGCCGCAACTATGGGGAAATGTTTTTAAAGACCTTAGGATCAATAAAACGAGTCTCTTTCACATAGTTTAAGGTAAATGCCAGAACATTTCAAAACACTTCCCTTTGTAGACATTTGTATGCTTTGTTACAATTAATCACTTTAAATGGACTTAGATAAAACTATATAAATTTCTTATTCAGAGCCTAAAAACACATCAGTTAAAATTAAGATTTCTGGCAGAAACAAATAACCACACCCACTTACACTTTACTTCTTATCCAGTGCCTAAAAACACATCTGATACAGTCAAAATTCGACTTCTGGCTGAAATGCACACCATTCCTAATCACTATGTTCCATGGACCTTCTTGTTTAAAAATAAGCTTAAAAACAAAGTTCTGTTGAAAAACAGAAGCTGTAAAAGAATATCATCCTTTGTATGGTGGCTAAGCCAAAGGCAAACACTGGATCTGGACACGGAGGAGAGAGGGAAGGATCATGACGCCTTAATGTTGACCAAGCCCTTGAGTTTTGACAGCATCTTAGACCCACATTCTTAAAGCTTACCCTTAAAGTTTATGTGTAAAAAGTATATATTATCGTTTCTAAAGAGACTGTCGTTTTTGTTTCCCATGAGGCCAATGAAATACATATTTTACCTTATTCAGTTTTATTCCTTATTTTGAAAAAATTAACATGGTCTAGTAAACTATGGCTTTTTGAATATCTTGATTAATTTAATTGATCCATATATCTAATTGCATCATAATCAAGTCAAAGCCAAAAGTCCACCAATAACAACAATAACAACAAAAACAATCCAACTTTAGCAAATTATCAGTATAGGCCAAATAATCAATTATTATGCAGCAATCCCAGTGGCTAGACAAAAGTCCCTAAGATCATAATTAAGTCAACTTTACTTGACCCATGTAAAACAGTGGTAAAAAGTATAAAAAGAAATAGCTCACTTCTCTGACCATAATCTTTGACCACTACCTTCAGGGGGCAAAGAGTCACGTATCAATTCCGTAACCAATTGACTTATTTCTCACTTTGATAACCAAAATGAATTATATATTGGTTTTAGCTGGAGGCAACCAATTAATATTGTATTATGTCATGACTTTTGACTTTTGCACGAGTCAAGTTTAGACGGGGTGGTTTGACATATATAATAAGGATTTATAAATTGAATGCAATCAGAACTTAAAATTCTACAACAAAATTATATTTGGCTATTTTTTTAAAAAATAGGAAAAGATGGTGAAAAAAGGTGAATGCAAATAGGGTGAACCAATATGTGCCAATTCAATATACATTCTATTTGTCTTCCCATTTGGACTACAAAACGCCCATGCTACCACCTGGACTGTTTCATAAGTGGACTTCTCACTAAAGTCTATTCGTAACTAAATGAGAAACACACCCAGCATCCTCACATAAGTAGTCCACTACTGGCTTGTATTGGGGCAGAGTGCACTTACAGTGAAAACCAACTCTTAGGGTCTATTGTGAAACAAGAGAGAGTCCTGCATCTAAACCTTCTTAAAGACACAAAAAGCAGGTCAATATCCTTCTGTAGCTAAATATTTAGACATGGTCTTTCCATAAAGCCCCCTGCCCCACCTTTGGTTGTATCAACACCATTAAGTCGAAACTATGAGAGCAGAGAATTGAAATATTGATGGATTCTTTACTGAAAGTTCTATTCACACCTGGTCCGACTTAAACAGGAAGCGGTCAAATTGACATACCAAAAAATAAAAAAATCTACTTATCAATAATAATAAAAATAATAATAATAATAAGATGTAATCCTATATATTATTATTATATTGTCTCCTGTTGGTTTGTTAGACTATATCAGTTTAAGTTTGTACAGTTGTGAATGCAACTGTAATTCTACATTGACCGGGTTGACAAAGGGTGTTAAAGCGTGATGTTGATACACATGGCAGCTAATGTTGTAACAATTTGGATTTATCAATACTAGAAACACACCTGTAATGATATGACACTTGTCAATTAAATAGAAAGGCCTATAATATTCTCTTTGGAATCAATAATTATCACCTAATTAAAAAGAGTATAACAAAGAGGAATTAGTTCTTTGTTACATCTTGACTTAACTGTGAAAGTCTTATTTTAAAGTCTAAGAAGAGAATAAAAAAAATCAAGATGTCCTCAATTTTTTCCCTGGACAAAATTATCTTCATCAAAAAATAAGTGGCCAGGGTGTAAAATTCCTAATTCATAAAGAATAGTCACCTTAGTTCAAAAGCAAAAAGAAATATAGACATTATATTTTAAAAGGTTGGTTTATTTATCTATTCATTATGGTGAGGAGGGGGATAGCTGCAGAAAACAAGACTTGTTATTGTGACAGAAGACTACATTTGTCTCTAAAATCACACCATCTGTTGAACAGCTTGAAGCCTGCTCCACCCTGATTGCAGTAGATGTGCCCTTCAAACAGTACAGCACAATGAGAGAAGCTGAAAGAGTAAATAATGTGCCTCTGTGTGGTAACATTCTTTGGGCTCTGGGTTTTGATTACTGCTTCTCTTCAATTTACTGCATTTCATAAACTGGAAACAACAGTATCTGTCTAAGGGCCATTCCACTTTTTTCCTCCTCAGTAGCATCATTTATTTTCCTTCAAAAATTTTTTTGCTACTTGCTACCAACAAAAACACTAACAAAACAGTTAAAATGAAAAGGCAAAAAAAAAAAAAAAATACACAAGAGGAAAAACATACATCAATCTTTATATTCTAAATCTTTGCTTGGATTACAAAAATAAATAAATAAATAAATAAATAAATAAATAAATAAATAAATAAAAACAGGGTTTAAAGGAGGAAAAATCTACAGTGAAATGACCACTTACTCAGTTTAGAACATAAAAGACAAAAAAAAAAAAACAAAAAAAAAAACAGCATCCACCTCTCTTCTTCCATCAGGGTACTTCAGCTGTGAGCCTGAAAAGTCAACACATACAATAAGCCTATTCACAACAGATGATCCTCGGACAGCACTTGTGGAGGCTGGGAGATAGGTCTTGTTTTCATGTAGGGTCTGCTACATTTGTTCTGTAGATCAGTAGATCCAAAGATCATTTGCTCTGAATGGGATTTGTTAAACCAAATCAGGCTAGGGGAATCGAAATTAACCATTTTACTCACCACTAATCTCCGTCATCAAATATTCAGGGGTTGCTGGCACTGCAAGGATATGTTTTGGTGTTGGGAAAAGCGGTCCATAATCTGGCGGCCAAAACGGTCCATGCTCATCCCTCACCACGCCATATTTATCTGCAAATTTCCCATTGTGTAACAACGTCAGTTTAGATCCATCTGGAAAACGACCATTTCTCAGAGCTTCAAGGTACCCCTCCCGCGTGCAAGTAGAAAATATTTTAGGCGGTTTGGGAGGTTGGCTCATAATGCCAAAATTTTCCAGTCTCGCCCAGCGCCCTAAAGATGGCGCTTGATTGGGCATTCTGTCCAATCCCAGTACACCTGGAAAATCGTCTTGATTTGACCTAGATAATTCACCTTCTAGTCTTGGCGATGTCTTTTTCTGAAACCCACTCCCCTCTGATGCAGACCTGCGCAAGTTTTTTAAACGCCTTTTCTGCATTTCTCTCCAATGTCTGGAGTTTACATAATCTCTTTCTTTATCTGTGAGGTCCATCATAATTTGAGCATTTAGCTGAGAGATGTGATCAACATCTTCTTTATCAGCTTTGTTGCGATTGCGCTGGATTCTTTCCAGTGGTGGAGTGTCCAGAGCTTCACGAACTCTGCTATTGATTTCTGCATCCAGTTGCTCCTTTAATTTCTTCTTGTTCACTTCTGGATCTGAAAGATTTTTCAACCATTATTTAATTACCTAAATTCTACATATTTGAATCATGTATTTTTTTTTCTATTTGGTAATGTAACTCACATCTTTTATTTTTCTAAAGGTCATGTTATATTGTGGACAAAGACCAATTTTACTTCCTGAAGGTTCAAGGACTTCTCACTTAAAAGGGCAAATATTCACGTTGGCTATAAGAACATCCCAGGGGTATAGATCAGTGAGTGCTTATATCTGTTCCATTCAAAATCTGTTTATTTTTATTTATTTATTTATTTATTTATTTATTTATTTATTTATTTTTTGCAGCAGCAGCAGCAGGTGAATAACAGAAGAGAGATTCTAACCAGGTTTCTTTCACTTTGGACTCGAATACTATTCAGAACTTTTTTTTCTATTAAAAATAGTTTCTGCAAGCTCAACACTATTAGGGAATTTTAGTATTACCAGTTTCTTTTTTTTTTTTTTTTTTTTTTTTCATTTTTATTTGCCATCTTTTCCTGCACTAATATTTCAACATACTTCAAGGTATAAAAGTTTTTTTCATATTTCACAGAGGAATTGATAGGAGAACAGTCCATTATCATTTGGGTGTGACAATTGTGACAGAGTCTCAACTAACACAATCCTGGTTGACAATTTATCCAAGGGCAGATTCACAAACCAACATCAATCAAAACCTGCAGTTATAGGTTAGACAATTTAAGGCACAATATTTTCAGGCAGTATTTTACATTAAACAGGAACAAAGTTGTTCTTTGTTATTTCAGTTAAACAAGATCACAATCCACTGAATCAGTGGCATCACAAAATTATATTTTAGTCACAAGTCAGAGAAAGGTGAAAGGTCACTGATCAAAAGATGTAAAAGAATTCTCATAGCAGAACTTATTTCCTATTCATTAGTATTTTTATGGCTGGAATTTTTAGTCTGAGACAATTCATAAGGTTTCACAGTATAACAGCAGCTGAAAAAAGTATTTTAGCATTTAAGTTCAATTAAATCAAAAGCAAAAGATTAATGCTCATGGAACAATAACAGTACATTAATTATCAAATTAAGGAGACACATGTATTATTAATATAATTCCAATGACAATCCAATCAGTTATGAAAAACAGGCTTACATTTTAATACAAAGTGAAATTGAAAAATGTTAATAAGAAAATCACTGCACTCTACCTCCGAACCCACCCTCCATTTCGATCTGTTTCTTCTTCTCTTCTGAGAATCGATTGATCTCATCTTTAAGGGAAGAGTAATTTGAGCGTGTGTACCCATCGTAAGAGGAGTAAGTTGGGCGGGGGCTGTGACCCATCCCGCCCCCGCCATTTTTATCCAACATGGCCGACATGGCAGTGGCACCTCCTTACACAGTTGCTATGTCAACAACTGCGATTTAATAAACCTGTAATTTTCATCAGTATTATGATGTAAAAATTTTGCTAGCTGTAAATGTTAAATATTGTTTGTTTTAATAAAATCATGTGCAGCAGGGTTGCATCAATTAATTATTACAATATCATAATCTATGTCCAGGTACTCAATGCATCAATTAACACATACTGAGTATATATACCAGGAGCAGGTATCACTTTACCTAATAATTTGTTCAAACCTAAGGCCAAACATGGAGAAACTGCTGGTCTGAATGGTCATGACTGCCTGAAAAGCCAGACGACCAGCAAGATTTGTGACAATGCAGGTCCTGCAAACCTTCAATACGCTCCAAAAGTTTGCCCCATATCTACCTAAGGATAAGACCTAATTTGGAAACCTGCAGCACAAATGGCCTTAGTTAGCAAAATGTCACAAAATTAGGATTAACCAGATTACTTCTATGACCTGTAGACCTGCTTGATTGCACAGTAGGTAAATTTTTTTATGAAGATTAAAAAGCATGCCACAAAGGAGATTTTTCTGAGACCTTTCTTTATGGTTGCGTTCTCAACCAGATTAACTTCGGGCAAATAAGTCTTGTTTACATCCCCCAATCAAATGGATCTTAATTGCTTTACGTAAGAATACTTTTCAATTCTGTCTCATATTTTCAATCACATTATAGATTTTCAGTCATGAAAGCCGTGTAACAACTGGTAGAAAATGAACAACTGCACTGGAAAGAAATCAAAAATCAAACTTCAATCAATCTCAGTTGTTCTCTCAACTTCTATACCACTAGTAAGAACACAGTGGTTATTATACAACAAGACCAATCATGCGTGCATTATGTTAAACCAGGATGTTCAATTAACCGTGTGCATGTCAAAAGTCACAGTCAAAATTCAGTCAATCTCTCCAATGTGAGGCTTTTATGTTTTATAAAACAGTGCATATGATGTTCTGTGCTACATGCATAAACAGTATCTCAAACAGCACAATACATACTTAACGATGTCTAAAGTCTAGATCAAAACACAGTCCATCTTACCAACTTAACATTATAAGGCTTGTGAATTAGACTACAGTAGTTGTGTGTTGTATTTAGCCTATACCAAATGTCGTTAACAGCAGCACAGTACTAGTAACCAAGCCCCTGTTTGCCATCTTGACAAAAATACAATCTCTCCAGCCAAACATAAGGAGCCTCAGGCCTATAAAGGGACCATTCAGAATGAGAAGAGCTGAGTGCTAGCTGGTTCACAGCCTAGATATGGCAGACTTACATGAAAGGAAGACCGTTTAATCCTTTAATGGTCTCTCCGCCTCTTGCAAGCCTCCACACACGTCATTCCGGCAGGGGCACAGTAATTAAAACTCGTCTCAATACGACCAGTCGAGGGACGATGGGGAGGCATGTGAGAGGCCCAGAGACCATAGTACAGGATTAAGCGGTCTTCCTTTCATGTATAGGTCACCCATATTTAGGTCGTGGACCAGCTAGCATTCGGCTCTTCTCATTCTGAATGGCCCCTATTAGTATGTTGTATAGTCGATACCCAATGCCTCAAACAGCAGCACAGAAACCAATTCAAGAACCTGCCTGCAGACTTGATCACAATTCCGTCAATCTCAGTTCCTCTCTCTGTACACATATACATTACATACAATTATGTATTTATTGGAGATCAAAGGACGTCGTGGGAAACCCTGTCAGCAATCAATAGCCTGGCAACCTGGCATTTCCTTGCTCTCATTGATTATTTATTGCACTGTGTAGTGGATATATGACCACTGAGGACTGACATAAGATGAGTTGGATGGTAAAAAACGTACATGTATGTACATGTACGACCTTGCAAATCTGAGAACAGACGTACAGACAGATAGACAGACAGACAGAAAAACAAACAGGTAAAGACACAGACAGACAAATAGACAGGTAGAGAAAGGCAACTTAAGACAAACAAACCAACTAGCTAGGCAGACAAGCAGACTTACAGATAGTCGGGCCAATATATTCAATTACTAGTATCATCATTTAATTAAAGGGATAATAACTCTTCATTTTGGCCAAAAAATGAATTTTCCTGGAGTAAACAACAATTTTCCCATACTTACCAATGGTTAATGAATCCATTTTTACATTCAAAGTTAGTCCCTGGTTTTTTTCTAAAAAGTTTGGTTTTTTGTTAAAATCTCTTAAGAGATTATAACAGAGTATAGCCATCAATGGAGGTCACGTGGTCTGAAGACAAGCTCAGATATCAGAATAATAGCTATAACTGCTGTTTTTGTTGTAAAACAGAATATATTATATTTCTATGAGTTATTCACAATGTTTTTATTGGGAAATATAGACCTCATATGAAGAGTTATTATCCCTTTAAGTAACTTGGGAAAGCAAAAGTTAAAGTATGGACAAACATGTACTCACTCTTTATTGTATCATGAACAAAATCCATTTCCATGCTTGCTGTTGTGGCTTCACCAACACAACTTATCCACGGGTGACAGATGCGATTTTCAGCTTGGTCTGGCTACCTAAAATAATAAAAATATTAAGCATTATTTACAAAAAAAAGTCCTTTACTTGTAACTGATAAGACAAAATGACTTTAGGCCACACTTTTTTTATTTTTATGGATGACATCCTGCGCGCGCACCGATTTTCGCCCGTTCTCCGAAAAAAAAAAAAAAAATCCCCCCCCCCC